AATCCCCGACTTCCAGGCGGAATTCTCTGGGGTGAATCCCGGGAAGACGAGTTTTTCCTCAGGGAAGAGGCTTTAATTTAGTGGGAGACGAAGCCGGAGCTTCATCCCGGTGGGAAAAGCTCCGGTGGGAGTCGTTGGGAAAGGCGAGGAATTGATGGAATCTCTCGGTCGCCGCCAAAACCCACCAAAAAAACCTTGGAATTTTCGCTGATTCATCTCCGTAAAGGCAGAAAAATTCGGGAAGAACCCCCTGCTGCCATTCCAGGAGTTTGGGAAGGGCTGGATTAACTCCGAGGCCGGGAAAGAGGGAAGAGGGACATTCAAGGATCAGACCCAGCCAGGACGGGTTTAGGAAGGGTGGGACCTGTCTGACCAACCTGAACTCCTTTTCTGACCCACCTGGGGCATGAGGGAAGGGGTGGGTGTGTCTGCCTGGACTTCAGCAAGGCCTTGGACACCGTCTCCCATGGGATAATCCTGGAAAAGGTTTGGACAGGGGCACTCTGTGCTGGGTTGGGAACTGGCTGAGGACCGGGCCCAGAGTGGTGGGAATGGAGCTGCATCCAGTTGGGATCCGGTCACCAGTGGTGTCCCCAGGGATCAGTGCTGGGCCCAGTCCTGTTTAATGTCTTTATTGATGATTTAGATGAGGGGATCGAGTGAACCATCAGGAAATTTGCAGATGACACCAAGCTGGGGGGGAGTGTGGATCTGCTGGAAGGCAGGAGGGCTCTGCAGAAGGACCTGGACAGGCTGGATCCATGGGCTGATTCCAACGGGATGAGGTTCAACAAGGCCAAGTGCCGGGTCCTGCTCTTTGGCCACAACAACCCCCTGAAGCCCCACAGGCTGGGGACAGAGTGGCTGGAGAGCAACCAGGCAGGAATGGAGCTGGGAGTTTGGATGGACAGGAAGCTGAACAGGAGCCAGAGTGTGCCCAGGTGGCGAAGAAAGCCAATGGATCCTGGCCTGGATCAGGAAGAGTGTGGCCAACAGGTCCAAGGAAGTGATTCTGCCCCTGGACTCAGCACTGGTGAGGCCACACCTCGAGTGCTGTGTCCAGTTCTGGACCCCTCAGTTCAGGAAGGACATGGAGGGGCTGGAGCAGGTGCAGAGAAGAGCAACGAGGCTGGGGAAGGGTCTGGAGCACAATTCCCATGAGGAGAGGCTGAGGGAGCTGGGGGGGGGCTCAGCCTGGAGAAGAGGAGGCTCAGGGGAGACCTCCTCACTCTCTCCAACTCCCTGGTTGTAGCCAGGTCAGGGTTGGTCTCTTTTCCAAGGCAACGATCAGCAAGACAAGAGGGCTCGGTCTCCAGCTGTGCCAGGGGAGGTTTAGGTTGGATGTTAGAAAGAATTTCTTTCCAGAGAGAGTGATCAGCCATTGGAATGGGCTGCCCAGGGAAGTGGTGGATTCTCCGTCCCTGGAGGTTTTTAAGATGGGACTGGATGTGGCATCAGTGCCATGGGCTGGGAACCACAGCGGGGTTGGATCAAGGGTTGGAGTGGATGATCTCAGAGGTCCCTTCCAACCCAGCTGATTCTATGATTCTATGATTCCCTGTCATCCTGTTGGACCAGCTTGGCCATCCGTTGGGAATTACACCTAGTGCTCGTCTGTGTGGCCTGGAATCCCAAAATAGGCCTGGAATTAGGTGAGATCCAGAGGTTCCATCCATTTGGGATGGAATTCCCACCTCACCCCGTGTTTTGTGTTGTCCACCAGGTTTGTTTCCGTCCTTCGACTCCGACGTGGGTTTGGACCCCCCAAATCCAAGGAAAGCGGAGACGAGCGAGAGCGGCGAGGAGGGCGAAGGTGGGAATTCCCCCCTGGAAGTGAACTCCATGGTCCAGATCGCCTTGGACAAGGGGAGCCAAGTGTCGGGAATCATCCGCTGGTTGGGATTCCTGCCCCAGATTAAGGAGAAAATGGCGGGAGTGGAACTGGTGAGGGGCAGGTTTGGGATCTCCGGGTATATCCAGGGGCTGGGAGCACGTTCCAGGAAGGGAACGGAACCGGGAAGGGTTTGGAGCAGCTGGGGGGGCTCATTCTGGAGAAAAGGGGGATCAGGAGGGATCCAAGGGGACAGGAAGGTGGAAATGGGTGGGATCGGGCTCTGCTCCTGGGGAACAAGGGACAGGACGAGAGGGAACGACCTCAAGTTGCACCAGGGGAGGTTTAGGCAGGATATTGGGAAAATTCCTTCCTGGAAAGGGCTGGAAAGCACTGGAAGAGGCTGCCCAGGGCAGGGGTGGGATCCCCATTCCTGAAGGGATTTCCCATCCCTGTGGATGTGACCCTTTGGGGGGGGACACAGTTTAGGGGTGGTGGGGTGCTCTCAGAGCTCTTTTCCAACTCCGTGATCCCATAAATTCTGCCATTCCCGGATGTCTTCTCCAGGATGAAGACAAGGGGGTCACCGGGGGCGAGTGGTTGGGCAAGTCCTACTTCCACTGCGCCCCAAAACGCGGCCTCTTCGTGAGGCTCAACTCCTGCCAGCCCGACCGGCGCTTCCAGAGCCTTCCCGACGCCCAACCCTCCCTCCTGGATTACGGTGAGTCCTCCGGGAAGCGGGAAAACCGGGAAGACTCCCCGTGGAGAAGGGAAGTCCTTCACCTGCTTTGAGTGTTGGGTTCTGGTGGCACCTGTGCCCCACCCCACCCTCAGCACTGTTGGCTTCAGGGGGGGACTCCAAAGTTCTCAGATGTCTTTCCCAACCTAAAAAAATTCCATAGGGAACATCCCCGCCGGCGCGAGAGGTCGTAAGCGATTCGGGAAACCGGGAAAGCCCAGATGGAGAAGCCACCTTGGAGTCTTAGGCTCAGCTTAAGACTCTTAGGGGGGGAATCAGGGAAGGGCCGAGCTGCCCCCCAGGATTTGGGGACTCCAAGGGATTTGTTTTCCTTTCAGGAGAACGGGAAGTTCTTCCCCAGGCTCCTCCGGAGAGTTTTCCTCCCCTCAGGAACGAGGCGGCCGTGCGCGTCCTGCGGGGCCGGATGAAGGGCATCCAAGGCCACTGCAATTCCTGCTACATGGATGCCGCTCTCTTCAGGTGAGAAAATACCTTCCCTGAGCGGGGTTTTAATCCCTAAATCACAGCACTTCCCTGGATTTCCACGTCGGCGGGATAAAACCATGAAGACAGAGCCCCGAGGCTGCTTTTCCAGCTCATTCCCAACCCTGGAAGGCTTTCCAGCCCTGAGGAACCCCCTCCCTCCCCCGTTCCCATGTGTCTTGTCCTCTAGGGTGCTGAGAGCTCCCAGTTTTCCGGACTCGGACCGTGCCGGCTCTGTCCCTGGAAGTTGTGGCTGGAATCACTTCCCAAGAACCCACCCGGGAGGTCCCAGCTTGGCTGTTTGGAGAGGAAAAGACTCCCTGGGGCCTTTCCCTGAGTTTTGGCTGCCAAGTAGGAATTCCCTTCTCCCTGAGCTCTTCCCTTGCTTTCTCCCAGTGTCCATCGATCCAGCTGTGCTGTCCTTCACCTCCCTGTCATTCCATGCATGGAATCTTGAGCATCCCAACCATCGACTGTCACCATCCACCGGCATTTTGGGTTCCGGCCGTCGCTCCCAATCCATCGGGATTAAACCCATCCCACTCTTTCCACAGCCTCTTCTCCTGCACATCTGTGCTGGACTCCATGCTCTTCATGCCCTTCCCACTGAGTGACAGGAATGTCCAGGGAATTCTGCGGGATGAGATCGTGAATCCCCTCCGGAGGTGGGTCTCTGGGAATGCCGGGAGTTTTCCGTCTGCCTTCATTCCTTCTCTGCTGGCCCTGGAGGTGGGAGCTGGCACCAAGGGAAAGGGATTTTCCTACCAGCCACATCCCACAGGAGAACAGGGAATGGTTTCCCACTGCCAGAGAGTAGGTTTAGGTGGGATATTGGGAAGAAATTCCTCCCTGGGAGGGTGGGGAGGGACTGGAATGGAATTCCCAGGGAAGCTGTGGCTGCCCCATCCCTGGAAGTGCCCAAGGCCAGGTTGGAGCAACCTGGGATAGTGGGAGGTGTCCCTGCCCAGGGCAAGGGGTTGGAATTCAACAATCCCTCCCAACCCAAACCATTCCATGATCCTGTGATGATTCTTCCAGTTGTTCCTTTCCCTGGGATGTGAGGCTGTCCCAGCTCCTTCCACGAGAGTCTCCCGCTCTGGAGAAACCTTGGGAGCTGGACTTCCCAGGGAAAGGGAAAAACAGGGATCCCTGGGGTTCCAACCACCTCTGGATGGAATCCTGAAGTTGATGAAGCTTTGCCTTCATCAGCAAGCGATCCCAAAGAATTCCAAGCTGGATGAGGGGAGACCATCCACCTTCCAGAGCCTAAAGGGGCTCCCGGAGAGCTGGAGAGGGAATTTGGATGAGGGATGAAGGGACAGGACAAGGGGGAAGGAATTCTTCCCTGTGAGGGTGGTGAGCAGCTGGAATAGAATTCCCAGAGAAGCCGTGGCTGCCCCATCCTTGGAAGCACCCAAGGGATGCAACTTGGAGCAACCTGGGATAGCGGGTGGCATCCCTGCAGGTTGAACGAGATGACCTTTAAAATCCCTTCCCACCCAACCCATTCCATGATTGAAACGCCCTGGAGGGATCACCCGGAGCCGGTTGTCGTTCCAGGACTGGATTTGTCCGGGCCAGCAGCGTGATGCACCTCCGGGAGCAGCTCACGGACAAGGGACAATGTTCCAGCTTCACCAACGCTGAGAAAGGTCAGGAGCTCCCTCTGGAGCTTTTCCAGGGCTGCTTCTCTGTGTTCTACCTCATCCAGGCACCAGCTGAACACGGAAATTTTGGGCTTTTCCCGGGAATGTGCTTTAAGGAGCCGGTGATTTATGGCAAAATTCACACGGAAGATGTTTTCGGGTTTTAAAACTTTCCGTATCCGTAGAGCCCCTTCCAGAGCCTAAAGGGGATCCAGGAGAGTTGGAGAGGGAATTGGGATGAGGGATGGAGAGACAGGACACGGGAAATGGGATTAAACTGCCAGAGGGCAGGTTTAGGTGGGATACTGGGAAGGAATTCTTCCCTGGGAAGGTGGGGAGGGGCTGGGATGGAATTCCCAGCGAAGCTGTGGCTGCCCCATCCTTGGAAGTGTCCAAGGCCAGGTTGGAGCAACCTGGGATAGTGGGAGGTGTCCCTGCCTATGGAAGGGGGTTGGAACTGGATGATCTTTACAGTTCCTTCCCACCCAAACCATTCCAGGATTCATGAAAGTGCAGTATCCGAAGGCTGGTTTGCCTTTTCCGTGCTCCCCTTGGGATTTGTGCCTTATCCAAGTGCTCTCAGCCTTTATCCCGGTGGCCCCCTCACCTAAAAAATGAAATTCCAGGTTCATGGAATGTTGGCTCGTGTTTCCCTGGCAGCTTTTGGCTCCCATCCCTTTTCCCTCCCCTTTCCAGATCCCGAGGAATTCCTCAACCTCATAATGCAGCAGATCCTGGGAATGGAGCCACTCTTGAAACTCCAGTAGGTTTCCACAGCTGAGGGATGCAATTCCCTGGTTTTCCACCTCACATTCCCTGTGTTGGGGAGGGGGGTCACTTTTCCCTTTCCATGGAGCTTTCTGGAAGCACAGCTCCAAGTTCTGGGCAACTCCTTCTGCTGTCCCCTGTGATCCTGCTTGTTGGGATCTTCCCAGCCAGGAAAAAACACTTCTGAGCTCTCCCTGGAAGGCACTGCCTTCGGAAAATCGGGATGAAAAGCCTTGTCCCACCCTCGGGGAGAGTCGAGAAGGGGTTTGAGGGCAGAGCCAGCAGGATCCAACAGCCTTTGGATAAATCTGGGATGCATCCAGGCTGCCGAGCTGGCTCCTATCCCAGAACCTCTCCAACAGGCAGCCCATGGATGCCATCCCAGGGCTCCACAAAGGGGATGAGGGGCTGGAGGAAGCCAAAAGTAACAGAAGGGGATTGTTGGATCTCCGCGCTCCTTTGTGGATCCTGGAACGCAGAGATCCTGGGAAAAGGCCGAGCACAAAGGGGGCCTCTGTGCTGCAGCTCCCTGCAGGGGGTTATCCCGAGGAAATCCTTCCCCTGCTGGATGGAGGCCTTTTGGGAGCTCTCCTGGAACAGCTCAGTGATGGGAATATCAATGGATCTCCCATCGGAGCAACCATTGGATTGTTGGGCTTAAAAGCTGCTCCCAGTAATTTTTTTAATATTTATATCCAGGAATTTTACCCATGGGAGCAGGATTTGGTGCTATAGGGGGGACAACAAGGCTGAAAATCCTACTTATCCCCCCTTCCCATGGCACAAACGTGGGATTTCCATGTGGAAAAAGGGCTGGGTGTGGCACCAAACTGCCCCAGTGCCTGGAGCCCAGAAGCTCCGGCAGGAGAATCCTTAGGGAGAATCCTCCCACGGCACCACCTCAGCCATCCCACGACTATTCCCTGCAGGTCAGGAGGGCAGGAGCAGGATTGTTACTGCTACCAGATCTTCCTGGATAAGCAGGAGGATCTGGTGGTTCCCAACGTGCAGCAGTTGGTGGAACGTTCCTTCCTGTCCTCGGATCTGAAGCTGGTGGAGGTGAGGTCCTTCCCTTCTGCTTCCCAAAATACCTTCTAGGTCCCACATCCAACACCGAATCCAAGCCTGACTTGGGAAAAAGGGCTTGGCTTTCCCCGTTTCCCTTTTATCCCGCAAAGGCAGGAAGTCTTCATTCCCAAATTTAGAGCGGAACCTCCGAGCTTTGGCTCTTCCGACTCCCCTTTCCCTTTCCTTTCCCCTTTCCTTTCCCCAGATCCCCTCCTGCTTCATTATCCAAATGCCACGTTTTGGGAAGGAGTACAAAATGTTCAGCAAAATCATCCCTTCCTTGGAGCTGGACATCACAGACCTGCTCCTGGACAGTGAGTTGGGAATGACGGACCGGGAGCTTTTGGGATCAGGGTGGGATCCTCCTTCCCCGAGGAAAAATTCCCCGTGGTTTTGGCGGGACAGGCTGGATTTCAGGGGGGATCTGGGGAAGGCCCAGCCTCTGTTGTCCCTGCAGGTCCCAGGGAATGCTGCCTGTGTGGAGATGTTGCCACCCTGGAGTGTTTGGAATGTTTCCAGGACCAGGTGTTCGCAGCCACGGGCCTGAAGCAGTTCTGCAGCTCCTGCTCCAGACAGGTATTTTTCCTTGGATGTTCCCAAGAATCCATTCTCGGCATGAGGTTGAACCCTCCCAAAATTTCCCTGGATGTTGGGCACAGAGTCATTCCCACAGGGTGTTGAACCCTCTGCTCACACAGAGCCTGAAGAATCGTGGAATCGTAAAATCATGGAATGGGAGGGAGCTTAATTATTATGGAATTCCAAGCCCCTGCCACGGGCAGGGACACCTTCCACTATCCCAGGTTGCTCCAAGCCCTGTCCAGCCTGGCCTTGGACATTTCAGCTTCACATCCGCAGCTTCTCTGGACAACCTATCCCATAAAAAAGCACAAATCCCAACCTATTCCATAAAAACCCCTAATCCTGCACAAACTGGGTGCTGATCCCTCACCATGAGCATTCCCACAACTTCTTGGAGAGTGACAGGCTCCAGATTCAGCTTCTTCCTGCCAGGCTGTTGCCACAACAGCATTCCCAGACATCCAGGGAACACAGGAGTTAGACAATTTGGGAATAAACTGGGAATGTGACCCCTGTCCCCTCTCCCAGGGTCAGTCCTTCCCTCCCCCCCATGAATCCCAACCTGTCCCCTCCCTCAGGATCATTCCCGTCTCCTCCCTCAGGATCATTCCCATCCCTTCCCTCAGGTTCATTCCCATCCCCTCCCTCAGGTTCATTCCCATCCCCTCAGGATCATTCCCATCCCTTCCCTCAGGATCATTCCCATCCC